CCTCTAGTTAATGAATGCTGCGTGAATGCAGGATCATCTGTCGGGAAAGTGACTTAAAAAGATGCTTGTCAGTCCATAGGGTGTGCAATGTACATACCATCACAAGGTTAAAGTGGAACATCAGCCAAAAACAGCTAACTGCACACGATGGAAGCCAAAACGATTTGTAATTCTGTACTACCAGGCTTGTGATTTACACACATCTGCCAAACTGCACAGTCAGGAAATTGACTTACTTATTTCCTGTTTCAACAATGCAGATTCCCACATCTCATCTCCAACTGTAGCCTGCTCAGGCAATACATTGTGTTGTCATCTTGGTCCAGTCAGCAGTGAGCTGATCCAGAAAATAATAGAGTGGTCTATCTGGCTGAGCTTAGTGGCAGAGATGTAAGGATTGTAAAAATAAAATTACAAAGCCTTTAGTGGGTAAAATAGTAAACAAGTATTATAAAAACTGCTATCTAGCTGCTTGCTTGGTGATTCACTAAGGGGTTAATGCAGGTACTCCGAGGACTAATCACTTAAGGGTTAATGTCTACACACTGCGGACTGGTCAGTCAGGGGTTATTACTCTGGGAACTGATCTCAGAAGGGAGAATGCTCATACCCTGAAGACTGGTCACTGAGGATGCAGTACTGCACATACTGTACTGTAAAGACAGGTCACTTACGGCTAAATGCACAGTCACTGGAGACTTGTCTATGATGGTTAAGGGCCCATTCACACTGGATCAGTTGTGTTGCAATCTGTTGCGTTGCGATACATTTTTCAACGGATGGGCACCGAAAAATAAATAGGCGTATATGGGGCTAGTTCACACCACTCGGTTCTGTTGCGTTGTCACGGTGCACTGAAAAGAAAAGTAGAACATGCACTACTTTTTTCCAGCGCAATGTAACGCAATGCATCCGGTGTAAACTAGCCCCATTCACACCCATTCATTTTTATGTGCCCTTCCGTTAGCAATCGTTGAAAAACGGATGGCAACGCAACAGATCAGAAGAAAATTGGAAGGTACAGTTGCAAGTCAACAGACCTTCTGGTGTGAATGCACGTGCCCTACATGAATATACACTGCCGGTGTGAAAACTGTCTAGTGACTTCTGTGTAGTGAAAGGACCATCTCTCCACTGGCATGGATATTGGGAAATGAGGTGTCTACAGGGGAAAGACCAATGTGTGTTGTGAGCAGAATACAGGGGAAAGACCAATGTGTGTTGTGAGCAGAATACAGGGGAAAGACCAATGTGTGTGCTGTGGGCAGAATACAGGGGAAAGACCAATGTGTGTGCTGTGGGCAGAATACAGGGGAAAGACCAATGTGTGTGCTGTGGGCAGAATACAGGGGAAAGACCAATGTGTGTATTGTGGGCAGAATACAGGGAAAAGACCAATGTGTGTGTTGTGGGCAGAATACAGGGGAAAGACCAATGTGCTTGCTGGAGGTAAGATACTGGGAAAGACCAATTTGTGTGCTCTGGGTAAGATCCATGGAAACATTAATGTGCAAGCTTTAGGTAAATTACAGGGAAAAACGTATATGCACTAATATGTGTGCATGTTGTAAAATACAGGGAAAGAGCAATTTGTGTGCTCTGGGTAACATCCAGGAGACCAATGTGTGTGCTCTGGGTAAGATACAAGGAAAGAGCAATATGTGGGCTCTGGGCAATATCCAGGAGAAGACCAATGTGTGTGCTCTGGGCAATATCCAGGAGAAGACCAATGTGTGTGCTCTGGGTAAGATACAGAGAAAGACCAATGTGTGTGCTCTGGGTAAGATACAGAGAAAGACCAATGTGTGTGCTCTGGGTATGATACAGGGAAAGATCAATGTATGTACTCTGGGCAATATCCAGAAGAAGACCAATATGTGTGCTCTGGGTAAGATACAGGGAAAGATCTAGGTGAGGTGTGTGCTGTGGTCTGTGGGCATGACATAGGAAAAGACTAATGTGTATGCTGGAGGTGGGATCTCTCGGGTAATGCATGTTCTGTTTAGCTAAATTCAGGACTGGAGGCAGAATCATCCAGTGAAACAGAAGATTACAATCTCCATGTAACAATCTATACATAGGAAGGATGGGTCAAGTCATGTTTCACATATGTAAAGGTGAAAAGGTATTACTCTCCATCAATTAGGCCAAGTTTAGGACAGCTGATCCACTAAAAACAATATTACAGCGTTTGGAAAGAACTGATACAGTCTGAATTGCTCACAAGTCCTTATATCCCCAGTTATGAGATCTTTACACTTAAGTACCCATCTTCCCCCACCTGCTGTGGCCATTATGGCAGAATCCTTGCTATAGTCAGAAAGCCTTACTATGCTTTTTTTCCATTTGTGAGGGGAACAGATCAAAGCACTCAGGAGGGGGAGATCCTATTTTCAAGGGTCCTGAATCCATTTAAACTGAAATATCAGTTTTGGTGGACTGATTACTCAAAATGAGTTTCTTCTCCTATAAGGCAGGTCAAAGCCCAAAGCTGAAATGCAAATTATATTAAACTAATAGCAAACAGTCACATTTCATTTTGCTAAAGTCAGATTGCCGATACCTAGGACATATAACTGTAAACATCAATAATAAATAATTGTGTATTGGTTGTACAATGAAGGAAAATTACCACAGTAAAAAAAAGAAAAAAGTATATATATATATACACACACACACACACACACACACACACACACAGAGCATACTCCTTGATACACTTCATAGCAGAACCTGCTTTAGCATGACGGATGTGTGGTGTGATATAAGGCTTTCTTGTTATAGCAGAATCCATTCAAGCATTAATATAAAATATAAAGTGCAAAACGTGGTAAAGAGAAGAATTCATTCAAGCAGTACAAAGATGTGAGGTGCAATGTGAACCTTGGCTTATGTATTTACTATAACCAGACAGGCTGTAGAGCATAGGCATCCAATTATCATTAGAGGATTCACTCTTGCATTTCTGGTTTTCAATTAAATGCAATTCAATTAAAGGGTTAATCAATACCACTAAATACATTCAAATAGTTTACAGAGAAATCCTTGCACTGTATCCAGTGTACTATGGATGAATATATAACCATTGTTATTTCCTACTGCATATTTTGCCTGCATGCCAAAACTAGATTACATGCTGCACTTTCTGTAATATTTGCTGATAATGGAGATATCTATGTATTGGTGTGTACAGTATAGACATAGTTACATAGTATTTGAGGTTGAATAAAGACACATGTCCATCAAGTCCAACCTATTGTGTGTGTGTGGTGTGTGTGTGTGTGGTGTGTGTGTGTGTGTGTGGTGTGTGTGTGTGTGTGTGTGTGTGTGTGTGT